TTTTCCCCTTCAAAAGGAAATGCGGACAGGGTAGAGCTCGGCAGAGGGTTCGAGAATAGGGTGGGGTCCTGTCCTTAAGATTCAGATAATAAAATAGTTCCAAACCTTTATGCATGCACCTCCGTACAAGTTCCGGCCAGGATGATTGAAAAAGATGAAACCAATTTGAACCGCTCACATCACAGTAGTAGTAGCGTAAAGGCCGTAACATAAGGCTATTACTTTCACACCTCTCTCTCTCCGCTGCGTGAGCAACCCGACTGTGCCTTACATGTGCTCTACAGGCCGCACTCCTCTTCCCAACGAGCCCATTTTCTTTTTATTTGGAAGACGGGGGTTCGAAAGGCATGGGTTTCAGTATGTCTCCAGATAGGGCCCCACTAGTCCGGCTAGCTAGTGAGCGGTTCTTTCGGGCGGGAAGCAGGCCGGGCCCTACGGGCGGGCATCTCCCGCAACGCAAGCACTATTGTTCGACACCACCCGAGGAGCAAAAGATTCGAGAGTCCAGGCTTCAAATACATGCATAGATAGTGGTCTAATGCCAAGGCCGACGACGGAAGCTCGGGACGGAGCCGTATGAGGCGGAAGTCTCACGTACGGTTCTCTGAGAAGGGAGTGGCTACCTACTGGAGCTTCGACCAACCACCACCGGTCAATTCCGCTTTGGGGCCACCCCTTACTCTACCATTATTATAGGGGTATGGGGTTCGAGACAAAGAAAGATAAAGGCAGCATATCAGTTTTTCCTTTATACTTTACTTGGATCTGTTTTTATGCTATTAGCTATTCTGTTGATTCTTCTCCAAACAGGAACAACCGATTTACAAATTTCATTAACCACAGAATTTAGTGAGCGGCGCCAAATCTTTCTATGGATTGCTTCTTTCGCCTCTTTCGCCGTCAAAGTGCCTATGGTACCAGTTCATATTTGGTTACCCGAAGCTCATGTAGAGGCACCTACGGCAGGATCCGTCATCTTGGCAGGAATTCCTTTAAAATTGGGAACCTACGGGTTTTTAAGATTTTCAATACCCATGTTTCCCGAAGCGACACTTTGTTCCACTCCTTTCATTTATACTTTAAGCGCGATTGCTATAATATATACTTCCTCGACCACTTTAAGGCAGATCGATCTTAAGAAGATCATTGCTTACTCCTCAGTAGCTCATATGAATTTGGTGACTATTGGTATGTTTAGTCGGGCGGCGGCCGTTAGGTCACCTATTTTGAGTTATGGACACACAAGGCCAAAACATGTGTGCCGGGCGTGCGACCCATCAACCTACTAGCAATGGGGGAGAAAACATAGCATGTCGCAATAAAAGCTTGATTCGAGGCGTCAGCAAAACACTACCGTCTGTTCCAAAAACAAAAGCCCCTTAGCGCCCCGGGACGGGAGTGGGGGACGGCCCTACGCGCAGGCAACAGCAGCACCGGCTCTACGAAGTCAGAATAAATTCCTTCACTAAAAACATCAAACAAATAGATTCTTCTAAGTGAGTTGTTTGTTGTTGCTAATCTAAACGTGAATAAGAATGAAAGGGCGTGAAGCGAGTACTTCTAGCTGCTTCTTATTATGGGCGAAAATGAACGAAAAGCGAGATAAGCGTGCTATTTTCAAATCGATTGATAGATAGCCTGATCTGTTCTGATAGATCGAAAGAGATAGAGAGGGAATCTATCAATAAGAAGGGGAAATATCCTATTTCTATCTATTGATGAGACAACTATCTATTCTTGATCCATCAGAAAGAAATATATATGTATCTGATAGAGTCTACATCGTACGTAGAGCGCTCAAGCGCTTTTGAGGCCAGCTCAGTTCTCTTATCCATCGGTCCAATGCACTGGGCTCATCTCATGGAGGGAAAAGCCAAAATGTAGTTGTCCTCCTTCTCTCCCCGGTATCGTCCCACACAGAAAGAAAGAGCGCAGAGCCCCGGCCCGACCTGTAGGTCCGCTAACGTAAAGCGAGGAGTTGAGCCTGAACTGGCGAACCGAAGTCACTTTCGGAACCATACTTCCTACAGCTAACATGTGTCCAGTCCAGCGGGAACGCGCAGCGCAAACGAACCGCTCCGTGGGCTGCTATACCGAATCCCCCGCAGGCCATCGGGGACCGAGTGGTAAGGCCATGATCCGCAGGGGAATGGATCACTCATTCTTCCATTGGGGACAGGTGCACGAACGACAACTCCAAACGTCATACATCCGCCGCCTACCTACCGTTTAGGTGGCACCAGCGAGATCCAGCCCACGGAGCGGTAAGGAACTTTGTGTCGCGGCTGCTCCACTCCGCTGCGGTCTCATGAACTGAACTTCGTTGCCTTCCCGCTAATAAGCGAATGGGCGCTGTGCCGTGGGTAAGTTTCGGGGAGCGAAGAGAGACCAGAAGAATGATTCATTTGGATCGACGAGCTTTTTCGGCCAGAATCAATGGAATGTCTGTCTATCCATGAACATATATTCTATCTGTATATCTAGGCTATACATATCAAAGTTTTTTATGGCATGATATGATCGCCTAGCCGTAGCCGCATATAAGCTACGCTCAATGCGGGATTTCTGTTGGATCAGATCTTTTGGGAAGCTTTTGGACCTAGCGAAAAGGACTCTAAGCCTTCAGCAAGCAAGCGCGAGAGAAGCGGAGCTGTCGTAGAAGCCCCCCGACCGACTAAAATACAACAGTCGCGACCTACTTTGATTCAAAAGAAAGGCGAAGGCAAAACAAGCAAACGGCTTTCTATCATAGTTGCAAGGGTTCCAAACCTTCACTACTTAAGTACCAAAGGCTGCTTTCGGTTGGTTTCATAAGGGGGCTGTTCACTACAAGCTATCAGCGCTCAGCGCTGTCTTAGATTGAACGTCGACTTATCTTATTGCCGTTCAATCTCTAAGGCGGGTTTCCGGAATAGTGTTCGTGTCCAAAGGTGAACAAAGCCCTAGCTTCTAGAGTTCGCTGCTTTTCCCAGGCCGGAGAAGGGCTTATACTGCTCGCCTTTGTTTGATATGTTCATTCAGTACCAATACAAACTAAAACTACACCAAAGTGGAAGGGCCAGTATAGAAGCTAGAAGTAGCTAGCCTATAGTAGTCGGCCTAACCAAAGCGTCACGACAACATCAAATTTGCCTTATGAATTGAGAATCTTCAGTAGGGGGCTTAGCCCGCCCGCCTACCAATCAAAGAGGCTGAGAGTAAGCGTAAGCTCGAAGAGCTTCCCTTCATTCGCTTCGCGGGAGCCGCACAGCACATAGCTGGAAGTCAGAGGGCCCATACTACCTGCCTAACCCTTCGCTCGAGGGACCGTAGATCGGAAAGCGCCTTATAAACCACCCAAAGAGAAGGGAAGGGGCCTATGTATTTGCATGACCCCTGCAGATTGAACCCTATCTACACCCGGAGCCACTCCCCTAGCGGTCCTGCCACCACGCCGCAGAACGGGAGCTCGTGTGGAACCTTTTATTCTGGCGTAACAGCGGTAGAACGTAACAAAATATGACACCCGAAGCACAATCCTATCCTATCCGAGTTGACCCCTTGCACTTCGGACAGCCGTCCGTAGCATCATAAGGAGGACCCCCTTTCGAGGTTCAAAAAGAGTACGGTACATAGGAGGTTGGTCTTTCTCAACGTGGTGTATAGCACGAAAACCCTTTCGATACAAGCCACACCTAGGGTTGGTGTGGTCACATGAAAGAACCAAATGAATCCTTTCTTCTCTTCTTTATCTTTCCCCCTCGGGAAAGATAAAGAGGGTCTTATGGAGGGAGGTGGGAGGGGAAAGGCTTGGTGGGCCTACCTATCCCGATAGGACCCAACGGGAGCTGTTTAGAGGTTCCATATTGCCGAGACGAAGGGCAGCACTTCTGTACGTAATCGTAGTATGTCACGTTGTCCCGTCCCCGCTGCATCGAAGAGTACCTATGCACTATGTTCCGGTTCACTGATAAGGAAGATAGAGTTGGGGTGGGGGTCTACGATGTGATACTCAAGTATGACCCGGGGAGATACATGCTAACTATGGGTAGGAAGCAGGAACCATTATGTAAAAAATTTCGGGATCTCTTCTACTACCATCGATCGACAGAGCGGAACGACCAGAAAAAGAAGTGAAGTTAGAAAGCCGTATGATAGGTGGTAACTATCTTGTACGGTTCGGGGGGTAATCGGCGTACTCCGATCAGTGGGGGAGGAATCTTTGGCTCTATCGAACATACAGGGAATTGGAGGTAGCATTCTACCGATGTCAAGTCATGGACTGGTTTCTTCAGCCCTTTTTCTATGTGTTGGTGTTCTATATGACCGACATAAGACTCGACTTGTTAGATATTACGGAGGTTCAGTGAGCACCATGCCGAATCTCCCTACCATTTTCTTCTCTTCCACTTTGGCCAATATGAGTTCACCTGGTACTAGCAGCTTTATCGGGGAATTTCTCATCTTAGTAGGAGCTTTCCAAAGAAATAGCTTAGTAGCCACATTAGCAGCGCTTGGGATGATTTTAGGCGCGGCCTATTCCCTTTGGCTATATAATCGTGCGGTTTCTGGGAATTTAAAACCCGATTTCCTCCATAAATTCTCCGATCCAAATGGCAGAGAAGTTTCCATATTTATACCTTTTATTGTTGGAGGGGCGACCGTCCGTTAAACTACCAAATAAAAAAGGGTAACCCAATGTGATCATGACATTGTAGGTGCTTGCGATGGGACGGATGCGACTTCCCTCAGTTGGTTTGGGTGGCATAGCCCGTTGCAGAAGTCCCCCCTTTTTTATCCATTTCTTTAGTCTTTAGGGAGCGACTTTACTAAACTAATAAATAAGGCTCGCGCTAGGCGCTTACCTTTTTTGGCTGAGCCGTATCTTGCTGGGTGAGACCGATAGAAAGAAAGGACGGGGGGCAACCATGCATGGTACTTCTCGACCCTGTCTCCGAGGGACAGTTGAACGAGCGACTCATGAATGCTGCCGGGTCGGACGAGCCAATAACTCGAAGGCGTTCGGTCTGTTTTTTGAGCAAGAATCACAGCCTGACCTTATCTTCACCATGATACGGACTCCAAGTTCTTATGGCAGAGCACGAGGAGATTGATCATCAATATGATGATTGGAATGGAAACCAGAAGCACGACTGGGGTCTTCGTGTCCAAAATAATCAAACCATCAATAACAGAAACGTAAGCATGAGACTTTTTGGTAGTACCGGTGAACCAGATGGCCGCGGCGATGGAATCTGGGACGGAGGACTTGTAGTATCTCTCTAGATCTGGCAAAAGCGAAAGACCCCCTAACATAATTCGAATGGAGGCTGACCGCTGAGCCCACTCTGGCCTCGCAGGGCGGGCCCCTGTGGTTGCGAGCTGGAGCTGCCATAGCTTATGGCTAGAGCAATGGGAGGACCCCAGCAGAGAGAAAAGTCAGGATAACGAGCGCGGAGCCCGCCAAGCGGGCGGCAGGAGCAGCGGGCAAGTGCTTGGTAGGCCAACAGCCCAGTGAACCGGGCGGGGCACTCGAAGAAAGGGGGCACACTGAGCAAGTACGAGAAATTGGCCCCTAAAGCTTTCTTAAAAGCAAGGATCTATGGAAGTGGAGGCTCGTCCCCGGTCAATATTTGATCAAACAATAGGGGATAAGATCGTACAGTTCCCTACCGAGACAAACTATCCTCCGCACGTTGCGCGTTAGCGCATCCGTTTTCTTGCTGGGCTCGAGGGCGAGCTTTATTTATTTCAGAGAGAATGGGGAGTGAATCGAAAGGCTCCCGTTTCCGTTCTGGGGCTTTCGATCTTTTTCGTAGTTGAGAAGGGGGAAGGAGTCTAAATCAATGGACATGAATGAACCATCATTGATGGACGTTGCACATGACACGATCAATTCGACTCAAGGTCCGGCGCTAATAGAAGTTGCTTACTTTCCTAGTAGCGAAGGAAAAGGGCAGGGCTTTTTTCGTAGTAATAGTGGGCGGGTCTCATGAGATCTATGCCGGCCGTCGGAATCAAACGAAGGTCGAAGGACCATTCGATTCATTAAGGGGCATAGCGGCGCCATTCCCGGACCTAGCAGCAGACGGGCGGGGCCGTGCCTGAATTCAGACCGGACCAGACTCTTCTTTGTTTGCCAGGCACGCAGACCGAAGATCTCACTTGTCCTGGACTGGACAAGTACGTAGAGATCTTCGTGGGACCGTGGAGGGAGTCTCAATCGATCTTTTCTAGGATTCCTTATCACGCCACACATGGAGATCCTTCCATTGATAGATCAGAGGCCCCCTTTCACAAATTATGAAAGGTGAGGTTACTACCTGCTTATACGGAATAGGTTGACTTTGTACCGCCATATAGATCGGAATCCGGAGCGATAAGAACGTGCCGGGTTGGTGTGGCCACAGCTACAACTACTGGCGCTTCAAAAGGCTTAGGCGCTACTGAAAGCCTTTTTCGGTAGGCCTCCAAACAAAATGAGAAAAAAGGGTCCGGTCAATAGCATAGCTCTTTCTTTCCCCGGTCTCCTTTCGAAGGAGAGGCCTTCGCATTCCTAATCCGGTAGGGTCGGACGGCTTTGTTTGCCCCAGCTTGGCCCCCGCACAACGACATTGTTTGTTTGTGCGCCCCTGACCGTTCTCGCTCAGTGTTTCAACGGCTGGGAAGGCAGTATACGAAACGAAGCCTATCGCCACGCCGACCATCAAATACGAGACCCTTCTCAAAGATTTGATGGAATGGCCCAGCCCAAAAAAGGAAGGTTATAGTACGCGATGCGTTCCATTTGTACGAATCGCGAACATACCACGCACGACCGGACGTAGAGCTACTAAGAGCTGGCAGACCGGCAGGTTCCAGATCCGAAAAGTCGAGTCTCGATCAGCCTAGTGCACCAACCACGTGGTACGACGGGCACTCAAAGACCTGGCGAATGATGGCCCACCCCACCCAAGAGCGCTTATGTCATAGGGGAACTCATGGCTGGAAACAATCCTTATGGTTTGTTTGAATATCCGGCTGGTAGGAATAATAAAAATAAAAGTCCAGGTTGGTTGGTGAGCCTAGTGATAGGAGACTATCTAGCTTGGTTCGGAGAGCACTTGTTGAGTGAAATATTTTGTTGTTGCTAAATGTATGTTACGGCCTAAATGCTTAACTATTGACCCTACTTGTTCGGATGGGTGTTCACCCCAAAGTGTTCCCGGACCGCATGCATACATCCGTAAGTAACTTAGTGCAACATGGCAAATTTCATTGAGAGGAATCAGCAAAGAAAAGAAAAATGGGTCTCAAATGTGTATTTGAGAGATTGTCCTCGGGCTTAGGAGTGTCCACATGAGTTCGTTGAGGTGTTTACACAGGCCTGCGGTCCTCTTTTATATTCTGTCGAGAGTTCGGATTGCTCCACTTAAGTAGAACGAAAAGAAGGAATTTGAAAATAGAAAATAAAAGGGAGAGGTGAGAATAGACTCGACTAAAAGGAGAGGGATAGAGCTAATGGCTTACTTATAATGCATTATTTTTTCCGAAGAAAGATACAAACTCATCTATTCTTCTATCCTAGCGTGCTCTAACCATAAAGGAATTATGAAACATCCAACTACCGAGCTATAAGAAGAGAGGAGAGCTACTAGCAGCTAATAGAAAGGGCAGACTTAGCTCAGTATGGACCTTCTTACAGAGTGCTCTATCCCTAGAATAGCATACATTTGAGCATACTCTCTTTCTTTGGAAATGATATGATACTCGATCTAGATACCTAGCTACTTGAAGAGGAATAATAGCATATAGCTAAAATGCCTAAGGGCCGGCCTATACTATTGATGATAGATAAGCTTAAGCTAAGAAGTCAAGAGGTGAGAGAAAGATTCCATGCCCAGCAGCCGCAAGTGCCTACTCTATTTTCTATATATAGTATAATTCTTATATATATCGTATAATTCTTATGGATTGGGGTTATACCCTTTTATGCATATGAAAGAGGACTATTTCATCCAAGCCTGGTCAACGGGACTCCCAGAGCTAGATCGACTGCCGGGCCAGTCCCTAGTACGACATCAGCCAGAAAGAGTCAAGCAGTTTCCCATTCCGACGGGGAAAAAGAACTAGGCCCGAAATATCCTATGTTAAGGAAGTGGGCCTGGCCCCCCTTCGAATCCTAGTTGCCTTGGACCTTCACCTGGGCCTTTAGGCGCGTTAAAGCAGAAGATCTGCTTTCATCTTATAAAGTGAAGTGAGGGTACCGCTATAAGGTACTACATTGATGAGTCCTCTTCTAAGCTTTGCTCGCGAACTGCTGTTAGCCGATACTGCTTCCGATCAAGTTCTGTCACACTCTAACCGGGAAATCTCTTTTTTCAAAATCATTTGCCTAAATGAAAGGTCTAGGACCATCGACAAGAAGAATAAATGAAAGCTCGGCAGTCAGAAGCGCAACAAATGGAACAGGCTGTTACTAGCCAAGATGCTCTCGTTTCAAGGTCTCCTTTTTATCATGGCCTACCCCCCTTACAATCAAGCTTCCACTGCTTACGTCGCGGGTCGTCTTGCACCAAAAGAAAGGGCCAAAAACGCCAGGGTTCAAGGGTTTTCAGTGGGCCCGCCCGCGGCTATTCATCGGCGGCCAGTTCCCCTAGTTCCCAATAGCTAAGCTCCCCCTTATACCTATACCTGTACATGCCCGTCCATCAGCAGCATTTGCTCCTTTGCAAGGCCTACTATACTAGGCAGTTCCTCTTTCGTGCTACCCAATGTTCTGGGCCGGTGACAGGCACGGACCTCCCGCCAATAGCTCTTGTTCTGGGCAGGGAATACCTTGTTGAATCTAAGTATAATCTAATTGGGTCAGCATATCTCTATCCGGGCGGGGGAAAGATGTTCCTTTTTTCTATCTAAAGAGATAAGTTATTCAAAGAAAGAAGAAGGGGTTGTATATAATAACGTCAACACCAGGGGAGTGACTGCACCACCACTCGCTCAAGCACCTGCTTTCGCTTCGTTCGTGCCAAATAAATAGGTGTAACAGATGCACATGAAGAGGGGGAAACAAAGCTCCAGCAGGATAAGAGTCAAGGCGTACACTGCTCTAAATACTGCTAAATCAGTCACACCAGACCAACTCAAAGCTATACGATAACAAGCCATCCAAGAAGAAGTGGAGAGGTGGGAAGGCTTTCAAAATATGAAATAGAAGTAAGCAGTTCCAAGCTTTCTTCCGATTGGCGGGCCTATCTCCGGAGTGGATCCGTTGTATGTTCTTTCTCTTGTTTTAGCGATACACCTGTGTTTCATTCTTTGTCTTGTTTCACTAAACCTTGCTTCTTATTCCACGGAAGACTTTTTGACCCCGGATTTTCTTTCATCACATGCAAGGTTTGATTCCCCCGCCTCTCGGCGGCAGGTCTAGCCCGCCTTCCGCTTGGTTCCAAGGAAGGTGTTAGCCCAGCTGGAGCACCTTAGTTCACATCATTGAAGACAAGATTTGAGTAGTGTTATTATTATAGTTTTTTAGGCTTATTCATAAGAGAAGTGTTGCCAATCCTTCTTTAACGGGCCTTCCTTGCATTATGTATTAACAGGATATCCCGCGTTTGTTACCTAAAAAAGTTTGAGCACTTCTTCTATATACAACGCGGAGGCAGGAATGAATGGGAGTCAATCGGGGATCTTGGTATGTCTTCCTTCTTTTTTCCGGGCATAGTACGCCATGGTTTGGATAATGAGATAGTTTCGGGAGATGCTTTGGCTTTTGATCTTTCCTCTGCTTGATGAACCTTTCGGGCTTTCGCATCCCTTTCCTTTCTTTCTGTGGCTCCCGACCGCTACAGTCCTACAGTCTTTCTTTCCCATAGGACAGTATGGAAGAACAGTTCTTGATGAATGATAATGTTCTTCCTCGGCCCCTTTCTTCTGTCTTTGACTTTGCTTTTTCTGTTCTAGGTAGGCTTATCTTCTCGCTACTCCAGTCTAGTGGGGAAGGTCTGTTGGATTGTGGTGTTATGACTCATTCATATGAATAAATAGCGTATCTCATATTGCCAGTGATGATATGATGCCCAGGCTAGGAACTGCTGTTATTCATAGTAGGCCCTCAGGGCGGACTGACAGCCTTTTCTCTTTCGTGCCTAAGCGTAAGATTGAATAATCATAATAAAGGGCGAGCTCACAATAGCTATTGATTCTTTGAGAGCAAAATTGAGGTAGACAGGACTTGCTTAAACTTGAGTTCGCCATTGGCTATGAGGCATGAACGATAAGACGCTATGCTTCTTTCCTCCGCCCGGATAGATCCTATTTTACATTATGAATCTAGCATTGGACTCTTACCTGGACGAAGATGAGCGATCTTACGTTTGCCATCATGAAGGAATTCTCCTTCAAAGGC